ATTCCATTTTAGAGAGAGTTTTGATATTGTCACATAATAGGATACGAACTTGTGTGTTCAGAAAATCACTCGATAGTAGTCTGTAAACATGTGAATGCAAAAACTTCGATTGGCTCGAATATGTAGGTTTGTATTTGTCTGACGTTGTTTGCTTCTGAGAAGAGGTAATGTCTGTGGGCTTTAAGACCCACTAGATTTCGCGTATCATTTAATTTTACTCCTTCGGCTCTAAAGCGTAAGTCTTAAAGGTAAAGCAATACTCTTAATGTATTTTTTATGTTTCCAACGCAACGGGCGTCTTGCATGAAAGAAGGGACCACTTTAAGGTGGAAAGTTTGCCTTTCATGAAACATTTCGCATCAGCTAAATTTTTTGTATGCTGGCCTAAAATAATTTTAAGAGAGGCACTTTATCCTTTCATTTACATCTTTTGAATATTTCTGCCAGATTAAACCTTTGCTATTGTACTGAGTAATTAGCCTCGTGACATATCCACCATACGGTGATAACTCAAGCAAAGAGACTGGACAAAAATTAATAATTCTCCGGCTCTCTTTCCAAAGAAGAGTTCCTGTTTGTTTGTTTTTTAAGTTTTTAAAATAACTAGGAACTATTTTAGGACGAGAATGTCAAAAGAGCAAAGGAAATCTTACTTTATAATTCTCATGGAAAATGTCTTGCCTGGATACGTACCGGGCTTACAAGTTTAAAGCTGAATATTTAGCATATAACATCAATAATTATCATTGTTTGATTTTTCTGGAAAACATCTATATCAGCCACTCAACTTACTTCTCGAGGAACTGAGTTGTTAATTGTGTATTTGTGTTTGCTTTGTTTGTTTGAACACCATATTGTTTATGGAAAAATGCATTAACAATATTTTAAATTAAATTGTCGTTAGAGTTCTTTGGTTACGCAAATGCCAAGAAAAGAAACCTCGGCAAGAGTAAATAATAGTTTTCATTGTTGGGAGACTTTTTACACGCAATCAAACCATACAAACTGCTCCCCTTTTTTTTAGAACAAAAATGTAAAACAAAAACGTTGTATCAACATTAAAGACAGTTTGATAAAAAGGTCTGGTAATGTTCGAAAAAAATTTACAAATTCATGTGCAAAATATTTTTGGGTACGAAGAGAACAGAGCATTTATATAATGCTGAGTCTTCGTGATGAATTATCCTAACAGGCAATTCGAATATCACAGGGGTTGGTCAATGTCTTACCGAAATAACCTTTTTCGAACAGTAAATGTCAAAACACATCATTGTCATTCAGCTCCTCACGAAAACTTCAAGAACTTAAGGCTATAAAATTAAACTGCGACAATGCCAAAAAAAAAAAAAAGAAAAAAAAAGAAAAAGAAAAAAGGTCATAGTTTTACGATGTATTCAAATTTCTGACACGAGCCGAAGTGTATCTTGAAATAGCAGATGACTAGTCACAAGCCGTGAGTCTTAACTATATCAGATATATGTATATTGCAGAATCATGCCATAAAATTATACTATTAGGTTAATCATCCTTGAAATCGCACCCTTCGCAAAGTTGAATTAAACACGTACTCAACAATGAAATAAGTTTGCACTTTAGACGCAGTCAACTATTTTTTTGTCTCCATATTTTTTCTCTTATAACGTTCAGTCAGCTGCTGGAAGAGGAGAAGGATCATCAGCATTTAGTTAGTATATATATATATACATATAATTGTAATTCAGTAGATTAAAAGCCAGTTATCGATCATTTGAAGACGTTCCGCGTGATATATCAGAACAGTTCGTCACCTCGATATTGGTATAAATGGCTCATTGACCAAGCGTGAGTTCTTTTTTACGTTTTTATAGACCAAGACGAAGTCGAAGTTCATAGAAACGCAAAAAAAGAACTCGGCCAATATCTAGCCATCGTGACCGAACAAGCTTGGTCAATAAAGATTTTATTATGGAGCAAAGATAATTCGCTTCGATAGGAATTAAGAACGACTTGCTTACTTCGAGAAAGAAAACTAACCATGTTTGTAGCACAATAAATCTAAGAGGGTCGTTTATTACTATAACATTTTTTTTTTCGTGTTGAATGTCTACTGCCGCTTTTTGCGATTTCGTCGCCGACATTGTCCATAAGTTACGAACTTGGTTAGTCCGCTGCACGCACTTTTTTCTTGCTCGGGATCAAAGTGGGCAGTCTCGAGCGAGCAAGATTGGCCCAGGTGATCTTGCCCGCTAGGCCAATGAGAACACAGGATTCGCTTCATTTTGCCTGCGGGCGCGACCATCCATATAACAACATAACAATAGGGGGCTGTTTGTGCCACTTGAGAGTACTTGTTCAATATAAGTCTTGCAACGTAGAAAAACATTTCTCTCGAAAACACATTTTTCTATCATCGAAAAAAAGAAGAAATGAAATCAGATACAAGGGAAAGGAGCAAATAAATAAAAAAACTAGACTCACGCCATTGCCTAGCTCATGATAACGCCTAAAAACGTTTGGGGGATTCATCTAACTAAGTATATCCTAGAACAATTTTTTTTCTCTAGTAAGTAGAAGTTGATGCATTCTCATAGCTAAAAGATTATTGTCTTTGCAAAGTCTCTTATAAGGGAACTAAACGCCGATTGAGAGAGAGACATTGGAATTAGCTATATTCAGGGGATCTTGTATCTGAACACTTTGGTGTGGTTTACGTCATAAACACGATTATAGAGTATTGGAAGTTGTTATACTTTTTACCTCTGAAGTTAATTTAAAAGGTCTTGTACAGAATACGTCTTACCACCTGGATAAACTCTCCTTTAGAGAACGCATTTATGTAATATCGAGAAAAAAAAGAATTGAAATCAGGTAATAATCAAAAGAGGGAACAAATAAACAAACTATACTCTTGCCGTCAGTTCGTGATAGCGCCTGGGTGCACTAAATACATCCTAGAATAAAATCTCCTCTCTGGTAAAGAAGTTAATATATTTTCACAGGAATCAAAAAAGATTAATGTCTTCGTGGAGTCTCTTATAGTGGTCGAGATAATGAATTGAAGCACCTTGGTGTGGTTTACGTCATTAACACGATGATGTAATATCATTAGTTTTTATACCTTCTTATCTCTGAAGTTAAGACAAGTTAACCTGTAAGCCCAGAGAGAATAAAAAATTGGAGAGTGGATTATTAAAAGGTTATTGTAGTTTAAAGAAATGGAAATTTTACATACGGATGCATGAACTTAGTAATACCGTTCTGTTTTTGAGCATTTTCCTGATCGATTAATTTTTTGATCAATATATTTTATTTTTTGCACGAGATAACGGTTATTGGAGCTCGTTGCGTCAAAAAACAAACAAAACAAGAATATTGCCCTGGCGGATGTTACACCCCGTCTTGCTTTTACGTTAAATCAACAAAGGATCAAAAATAAGCTTAGATATTAGCTCTTGACGTCAATATACTATTGTAATGCAGCTGCTAAACTTTGCCCATACTTACTGATTAAGAGTATTTAAGCGGTATTATCATCTCATCTCGCTACTATTCGCCAAGGGGTTCTCTGCAGAAAACATCATTTGGGGAAGAAATCTTTTAGTTCCAACTCGGATTATCAACTCGATCTTCATCCATTCTGACCGAAGGTACAACAAAGAAATCTGTTGTTCTAATCTTTTTTTTTCCGTCTGTTTTCTTTAAGAGGTCGTTGTTTGTTCTTTCAATGAGAAGGAATCTCTTTATGATCCGCTACCAAAGGGGAAGAGGGTATATTGCAAGATATTAGATATTGTTTTAAGATCGTAATGTGTTTTATCCACGGGATGTATTTGTAGATGCGATGCGGTCATCACTAGCTGGAAATATAATTCTTTTAGTTACTTTTTTAAGTCTGTGTAAGGATTTATCTATAACGGGAAAATTGAACTTTTCAGTTGCAACCGTCTCTCATATTAGAAAAAAAAAAAAAGAAACAGTTGTGACACTCTTTTGTTACAGACTTCTCTTAATGTTTTCGTTTCGTGCGAGTATGGAATGACAAAAAAAATATCTTTTAAAAAATGTATACCGAAAGGGGGAGACCGAGAAATAGTCCTTGTTGACAATTAAAACCTCGCGAGACCCATTTCAAGTTATAACTCTAAAATGATCATGACTTCAATAGTAGGGAAGTTTTTTTCTCTCCCTCTCACATATTTTCTTCTTTTTTGTTAATAGCGATATAACCGTGGCACGACACTGCAAGGGTGACAACCATAAAACTCGAACAACTAAGAACTCTTCCACGTGATCTCATTCCGCTCACAGGTGTAAAGTAAGAAGCTGCCCAGACGCAAAATGCGAGAAACAAGGTACAGTGAAAATATTAATACCACAAACTTTGACTTGATACCTGACCTAGGAATGATTTAAGCTTCTGAAGCATTTTCTTAAACAAACAATTTAAAACAATGCATCTGACTAAGTTCATGGCAACCAATGACTGTCACTTTCTCTTACCTTCTCTACCTGATATCAACTGCCCGGAAGCAAGATACATGAAGTCTCCACTGATATATTCAATAAAGAAATAACAGTTGTCCTACTGTAATACGTTGAATCGATCATATTGGGTCAAAAGCGTCTCATGAGCGGGCTCTTTTGCAACAAATATTATGTTGGTTCAGGAGAGAAAGCGCGATCTGGAATTATGATTCGTTCGAACGCAGAATCGCCTGGAGAGAAATAGTCTTAACATGGCGTAGACAACTAATTTTTTTTTACAGCGTCCTTATGTGATCTGATGTTGAATATTTTTACGTTGATTACCACAGCGGCGCCTCCTCGACCCCTTTCTCCCCACCCACCCGCTATGAACTCTGACTGTGCGCGTTGAACGAAGCTTCGTATTCAATGCTATTGCTAAAACACGCTGGCGTAATATTCCTCCCTTATACTGATGCCTGTGTCTCTTTTGCAGTTTCATCGTTAGACTGCTTCTAATTTTTGCTGTTTTGGAAGTACGATGCAGTTCTTATGTTATGCTATCAAGCCCTGAGCAGGATCTTGAAGATACGCTTCTTTTACCAAACTGCAACCGTCTTGACGTGAGGCAAAATTGTATCAGAGGCTCTCAATTTCGCACCTTTGACGGCACATGTAACAACCTCTGCAATATAACCAATGGAGCAGCCGGTTCGTCATTTCTACGTCTCGAGGGTCTCAATCCTCCCAATACCTTTCAGCAACCTGGCAACCTACCTCGAATTAAATCCGTCAATGGTGGTTTGCTCAGAAATGCAAGAAATATCAGCAGAATAGTCTTCAACAACACAGACGCTAACGTAAACGACACCGCTCCAAATTTTACCCACGTGACAATGACCTGGGGGCAATTTTTGGACCATGACCTGACCCTGACTCAGCTGGTCCCTGATGTGGAGTGTGGAGTGAACAATGCACCGTGTCAGGAGATAACAGGATGTACCAACCTCGACATCCTAGAAGGAGATGACCTTCTTAACAATAGGAGTGCAACATGTATTCCACTTAGGAGAGCCAAACAGAGTAAAGATGGCGAGCAGGTAAGTTTGAAATGACAAATTGTTGTTTGTATGTATATAATAGTTTATGACATTGTGTAAAATCGAAGTCAGTAATCCCAGGTAGTAATGTAACTAAGGGATTCCTAACTCCCTACCCCTTATCCCTCCTCCCCCCTCTCCAAAAAAAGTAAAAAACTCAATAAAATGTCCTTGAAAAATCAGTGGCAAAAATGAAGTAATATTTAGAAACGTATAATAAGCTTTAAGGTCTAGCCTCCTCTTAATCCTCTCCCGGATAAAAGAGCCAACATCGCAACTTCTGACGTTAATTATTAGATTTTGCAAACTTTCTTTTTATCACTTAGAAATAGCATGCAACTTAAATATAAAAACTCCTGGCTGAATGCCTGCACTTTGGTGCCATTTTCAATGTCTCTAATATTCTATGGCAGATGAACATCATTACATCTTACATTGATGGTTCACAAGTGTATGGCTCAGACAAAGAAACAGCAGAGAGCCTGCGCGACCCAAGTGATCGCAGATTTCTGGATGTGAGACTATTCGTAAAAGCTGCATCAGGGCGGCAGTGTGGGTTGCTTCCAGCCGCTGAGGAAGAAGCTTTTTGTAGATCTCCTAATCCAATGGACAAACCTTGCCTCCGTGCTGGCGACGAAAGAGTTAATGAAAACCAAGGTAAGCCCGAGATTTTTAGACGTTGTGACTGCTCTCCATTTTCTTCAGTTTTAAAGCTGTATTTCGCTTTTCTCATAAGAAAGGAGATTAAGGGGGGCATCAAAATCCGCCTACCAGCTTTATTTTCCGACCCATCCTCCGTTATTTTCGGTGTAATCTGAAACTGCGTCGCTTTCATAGCTATTAATAGATTGGAAAGTATTATGCGCATGGATGTGTATATGTGTACGTTTATCTTTTCTTCTTCCGCGCTTTCATTCAACTTAACGTCATCTATCCTGTATGGCTTAGTAGTATCATAAAATTCCAAAACTACAGCCGATTTAAGTTTCATGCTCAGATTAAACATCCAAACTATTGAAATCTAAAATCAGTGTTAGCATTTTATGCTGGCTTGTTATCCACCATATTTGCTGAACTTGCATATGTTGTGCCGAACTTCACTTTCCGGGCCTTTTCAGGGCCAATCCAATTTTTCCAAAAATCTAACCCTCCCTCATCCCCCACCCACTCTCCAACGATTACCACAGTTAAATGCTAAATAAAGACAATTTTACAATTAATGCTCACTCTACAAAATGTTTTTCTTCTTATCGTCAGGCTTAATGGCAATGCACACGTTGTGGGTTCGAGAGCATAATCGCATCGCCAAAAAACTGATTGAATTAAATCCAAAATGGAAAGTTGAAAAAGTGTTCCAAGTGGCAAGGAAAATCGTGGCAGCAGAATTACAACACATCACATACAACGAGTGGCTAAAAGTGTTATTCAGTGATGCTGTGGTGAGTCACGGTTACATGGTTAGATATAAGGAAACCTAATACACTGTCGTCAGTTAACTGACCTCTTCGGCTTTTCTCCGGCTTGTGTCCAAGTTTTTGAAACATCGACCTTAATTCTGAGGCACTAATTACAGTTTTTAGTTTGTATGTTAACGGTTTGGGTGCTTGAACATGAGCTAAAAGGGTAGTTACTGATATACAAGCGTACGAGTGGTTCGCCGGTCTGAGTAGTCTACGGGAATAAACCACCAAAAAAAGTGTAGCCACTCGTGTGGTAACCAGCTATGAGAGTTTGTTGGAAAAATAACAACGGGTTTACACGAAAAAGGTGTTCAAATTCTGCGATACTGACCTGGCCGCCGTTTTAGCGTAATTATTTGAACGAACGTTACCCATCTATTATTGAAAAGTTCGCGTTCATGTACACCAGTATCGCGCCAAAATGTGATGAAATGCATGACACATGTTCCTTTAAGAATTCTCAAAGTGTTCGTGCAGTCTCTAATTCCTGACTAAAGAAGGCCTTAGTAGTTAATGTGGGTTTTCTCCTTTGGATTGTGTTACACCTCAGTCGATTACTTTCACCAAAATATTACGAAGAAGTGGAAAACAAACAAAACGTTGTATTTTAGAAAAGATCTTGTTTTGTTTTGTTTTTGATATGTGGCTTTGTGCTCTAGCTGGAAAGGGAAGGTCTGTTGTTGGAGCCACCAGGAAAATTCTTTACGGGATACAATGCATCGATAAACGCAGGAATCTTGAACCACTTTGGAACTGCAGTTTTGAGAGTGGGCCACACCCTGATTCGATCAAGATTTAAACTAGTCACCAATTCAAGCGTGAAGCGCTCCAGTAAACGTTTTTATCTCGGAAGTGTTGGAGTGGACTTTTTCAATCCAGCCTCCGTGCTACTGGGATACAAGATCAACTTCTTTGGAGAACTCTTATTTGGTCTGGTTAACGAGTTAGCTCAGCTCCCGGATAAGTATGTATCAATACCCTTTATATTAACCGTTGAATTATTCGTGCCTTCTGATTGGTTCTTAAGTATAGATGACGTCAAGTAGGTTCTATATTGTCGTGTTTGTGTTCACCAATCGATTACAAAACACATCAGAATGCTGTAAGAACATACGTGACAAACTCGACTGCACTTCTAGTGCCACTTTTTTGTTCTTATCAATTTTTATTTAACGAACAGGAACTCAGCCATTTGAAAGCTTTAAGCACTTTTCAGAGCAACTTTGACGGTCGTACATCATGACAATGAATGTAAACCTTCTCCTGATGAAACAACGTCTCTTGAGAATACTTGTTATCGTGTTTTTAAGAGGAGTTCTCAAAATCTCACCGATCCAAGGTCTTTAGGTTCAGTAGAATAGTTACCTCAACCTGATGGAATGTTCTTCCTTAGGAACTTTGTCAACATCATAAGAGAAGGTCTAATCATAGAAGGACCAACTATTGATGGTATTGTTGGCGACCTTCCTGCAATAAACATTCACCGTGGTAGGGATCATGGCTTACAAACGTTTGTAAAATTCCGAGAGATTTGTGGAGCAGGCCCAAGCAATAACTTTGGTCAACTTCGTAATACCATAAATCGCCCAGAGATCCGGAAACTGAGAGAAGCTTATGACAATGCGAAAGACATCGATCTGTTTGCAGGTGGCATCCTTGAGTACCCCACTCCTGGAAGCGTGCTAGGTTTCACGTTCACCTGTCTTATGACCAAGCAGTTCAGACATCTGAGACATGGTGATCGGTACTGGTATGAAAGGAATGACCCTATCACCGCATTCACACTTCCTCAATTGGAAGAGATACGAAAGTCGTCACTGTCGCGAGTATATTGTGACAATGCAGAAGCCGTGTTCTTTATTCAGAAAAATCCCTTTAAACCCTCAACTAGTAAAAACGGAACCAATCCCGTGATTGACTGTGACTTCATTCCCAGAGTGAACTTAGAAGTATTTAGAGAAGAGGAAGAGCCCATAGGTAGGACCCCGTTAACTTTGATTAATACAACAAAAAATGCATATTTCGTATTCTTAATTCGCATCTTAGAGCGAGTCATTTGGCAAGACCATTTTGGAAGACAGTATGGAGTGTCCTAGACTCTCCACTGTCTTTCAAGGGATGTAGCTGGCTAGAGAAAAGATGACTTATTACAGAAGACATAATAGCCCAGAGAAATTCTGCACATGATTCTCAGTATTACATCTGTTTAATGCCAATCGAATTTTCTTTAAAAAAGATGACAATTTCATGAGGCATATAAAGTCTCTCACTAAGGTTTGTTAAATTGATCGCGCGCCACTGCGCAAAGAGATGAGTTTCACCATATGCGTTTAGGAAGTAGTACCATGTTCATTTTATCTAATTTTGAAGTATTGTCCTGTCTGCTCTTTAGGTGCAATGTAACCTTTGCACCGTACAGACATTATTTGTCAACTTTCATGTATCCTGGCGACATTTGAAGGGTCTCATAGTATCAAACAATAATTGTTGCTTTCTCATCACTTTCCTCAGGAAAATTACCAGAACTACCCATTGTGCAAGGTATGTGCATTATTCTGTACGCAAGGGTTTGTTATGACGTGATCGCAACTGCCAACACTAAAATCTGTCATTATAAACTAATGCTCAGGGGTATCCTTGTTGATGAATACGCTTGATCAAAACAGAAAAAAGAAAATAATCTCACGGCTAATCTTTGATAAAGCAAAAATCAAAACTTACAATACATGTTAAGTAACGCTGTTCGATTTAAGCATAGATTGGTAAGCTTGCCTTTTTGCATTAAAAAAAAAAGCTAACGGAAGCAAAGGTTTTTTTTTCATAACTTTACCTCCTTCTTCCTTGTAGCAATTTTTTTTCTTTTCGCTGGTTTTACGATGATTTTTCGCAAAAAGACAGTTTGTCTCTTCACAAGCGGCCCTTAAATACTCTCACCAAATCCTATGTAGTTCATAACGACGAGGGCATATTTCCGTTAATTTTTTAAAAAACGCAGAAAAACTCGGTTTTTGTCTTGGAAGGTTATAAACCATTAATCCATGTCCGTACAAAAATATTGGGCATATACAGCTGGCAGTCTAAAAAAAAGGCGATTCTTAAACCTGAATAAGTATTTTTCCCACCACATTATCATCATCACGATCATTGTTAACAACGTCATCGTCATTATTTGTAACTTTATTTTCTCAAGATTGCCCTCAGGAATTTGTTCCATTTAATGGCCGTTGTATCAGATTCTTCGTTAGCCCTACTCCAACATTTGAGAATGCAAAATCATTTTGCATGAACTTTAAGACTGAAGACAATAAACCGGGAGATCTAATCGCGATTCGATCTCTGGAGGAGAACAATGAGGTGGTTTCTCTTGCCCCTGAAAATGGTACGTACTATGAAAACACGTTGTACCAAACTTCAGTAATGATTACTTATCTTCTAGAAGGTCAATTTGGTGAAAAATCCAGTTTTTAATGCGATAAAACCTCAAGATCCAAATTAGATTAGAGGAAAAAAGGAGGGGAAATAACAGCGTTATTTTCATTTTGTTTATTCATTTTGTTGTTCCATCTTTATTATTTTTTTCAAGGTCTCTATTCCCGAAGGTTCTCATTGTGATTGCTCGTTTAGTAAACATCGTCACTCTTTTCTGACCTTGTTAGAAAAAAAAATACCCCTCTGAGGAGATCATGTCCAAAATAGCTTCAATGGGGACTCAAGGAAGACAAGCTCTCGACTAAGAGACTTTCTATAACTCACCCATTTGTTCTGGCGAGGTGCTGACGCTCGAAACTTTACTTCTAATCACACTTTTCAATGGCCAAATTACTTTATCAACATAAATGACATTTGACATAATTTGATCGAACCAAATTTCATCTATAGGAAGTTGTTTTGGTGGAATTGATTGATCTTGCAGCTCAGAGCAGAGAATACTATTGAGGGGATGATTGATGGTCAATAATGAGACATCTCTTCATCTTTTCATTTTTTTTTTTTTCATCTTAGGGCAAAGATATTATATCGGTGTAACAGACTTGGAAGAGGAAGGTGTTTTCCGCCTAAATGGAGAAACAAATGCCGCTCCATTTCTTAACTTTCCGTCAGACTTTCCTCGAGATTTGACAACTGAAAAACAAAATGACTGTGTTGTGTTATCAACGCATCCGGATACCACTTTTTCACTGTGGTACACGGTGCCTTGCTCTAACAGCTGGGCTTTTATATGTGAATGTGAAGGTCCGTGCTTTGAGTCCACCGTGGCGATTTAAATGAAGAATTGTAGACTGCCTATTGAGTCATTCCGTAGAAGAGTCAAGCTTTAATGTAGATAAATATGATCTAAGTCTTCAATAACGCCGTGACATCATAACAAGTGTAAACTTTAATCAAGTGGCATAATTATTAAGTATCCACAATAAATCATCGCATGATTGCGGGAGTAAAAGTGTTGATCATATATATCTTTTATTATTACTATTTAAAAAGTATCAATGTGTGTTTACCTACAAAGTAATGGGGAGTGGAGCGAGAAATTCGCGATCAATAGCTTTACAAGCGGCCCAATTGCAGTTACAAAAAGAAACTCTAATGAATTTTGCAAACGCGAGCTTTCCCTTATCTGTGGATCGGGAGGCCATAATGTAGGACAATACAATGTCTTTCAGACATTTCAACTGATGGAAAATAATAATAGAATTACAATTTATGTACTTCGGCTAAGGTTCCCATGCCCGTGTCGTAGTTAATTCATTGGTTAAGGTTTAGCTAGTGTTACGACAAAGTAAAAGTTGCGTGTCAGATAGTCCTAGGCCTCAATTTTACTTATCGAAAATGATTGTCACCTCATCTCCGAATTGCACGATTATCTAATGTTTCAACAAAGAGAAAAATATATGACCTGTGCATCTCATTGAAAAGAAACCTCTTCCGACCTTACTCTTCTGGGATTACTCGAGGAACTGAGTTCCTGCCTTCAAGCGATGATTTACTGTCATATTGTCTTACATGAGTCAAGTCACACCCAAGGATTGTCATGCTCGGGACTGCCTGGTCGTCAACGCGTACCCATGGTGCTTGCTTCGCTCTGCTGAAACCTTCCCTCAC